TCTTTCCCTTTCCCCCCCCCCCCCCCCCCCCCCTCTCCAATGTATCATAAATTTTTCGCATTGCATGTACATATTCGAATTTCCATTCATGTGGGGATTGTTGAAAATTGATTTAAAATTAAGAAAGTTTGGTTGAGTGCAAATGTGGAAAAGTGACTTTCGTATCAATTTCAGCCAAATGTTCGGATTTGATCTGATAATCAAATTATAAATATAAATAGACTAACTTATTCTATTCGTCAAGTAGATTATCGTAGTATTTTTAAAATCTCAAAATCAATTCCAGATAAATGAGAAATTACAGTCCAAAGTTGAAGAAAAATAGAGGAAAACTTGCATGGATTTTGTCTAACTCCATCGCTCGCCTATCATTCCTACGACAAGAACGCTCGAGTAACAGGTTAGCAAAAAAGTTGTATTAAAATTTTGACACTAACGCTCGAATGAGAAGCTAGCAACAACAAGTAATGCTTTCTTTCATAAAGTTGCCAGGTTTGGTGCACATCACTTCACCCACACTCTCTCATCGTCTATAAATAGTACACTTTGGACGTCAATAATGCATCCCATATCATTTTTTGCATTAATCATTGCATAAAATATCTTGCAAAAACTCTTCCAAATCATTCCAAACCCATTTCTTCTTGTAGGGAGAAGGATCCGTTCTGTGTTCACGGAAACTTGTGGTTTGAAGTACTTTTGCCATAAGTTGAATTCGTGTATCTTGGGACACAAGTGCCATACATCGTTAGCACCATTGTGGGACAATATTGTCTTAAGAAAATAGTGATTGTCACTTGTCTTTGATCTCTTCCTTCTCATTTTCTTGTTTTCTTGTTGGTTTATACACTCTTCAAAATTTGTTGTGTTTAATTACGCTCTTGTGAATTAAATCTTTCTACTACATTGATTCATTACAAACAACCCTTTCTCCACCATATTCTGAACAACAATTATGTTAGTTTATAGCCTTAATCAGAAAAAAATTGCCAGGTTCGTCTAGCGCACCTTTCTTGACCTCATTGTTTGTGATGGTTTTTCTTGTAGTGATGAGATTAGATTAGATGGTTTAATATGTTTTGTATGGAATAATTTTAGAGGTAGAAAATAGTTGGCTTTTTGTTGGAAGTTAGTAGTATGGAAGATTTTGTAGAAAGTAAGTTAGTAGACAAAGTGGGTAGCAGAAATGAACTTTATTAGAATGATAATGGTTTTTGCTTACATACAAATGAGAGATTCATGCCCTATTTATAGATCATAGCTTACATATGATTTCTTCTAGATAATTCTACATGTGCCTACAAACCACGCAAACTTTCTTGGTGCCCAATTTTCTCTAGTGAATTGTAAATAATTCTGATTTTTTATTATTATTGCTTGCCAAGCAATTCTAGGATATTCGTGCCAAGCAATTTTAGGATCTTCTAGAAAAATTCCTAAAATATGCATCAACCATCAATAACCTCATTAATGCATATTTTGGTAACTCCAATCATTTTCCGTAGTATTTCGAACTTTGCTCATTGTAGCGCCTTTGTGAATATATCTGCTAATTGTTCTTCAGTCATGCAATGTTTGAGCTGTTTCAATGAAATGCCACTCAAAGAAAAATTAATTCGATTACCATTTGGTAATTAAGTAATCTATTGATTGAGTTTCTTAGATGATGGAAATAAATACAAGATTAACATCTTCAAGATAAAAAGATCATCTTGAAAGGGCAAACTTTCAAGGTTAAAATTATTATGGTCTCTTCCACTGGCTCTCACTGGATGAAAGCAGTACAGATGTGTCGATTAAAAGACAGTGTGAGGCAAATGTCTTTACTTACCTACAGAGACAGAATGCGTGCATCTGCGTGCATCTTGCAGATGTATAGCAGAGATTATTCGTCAACAACTGAATTCAATCTGCCGTAAAATTATTTCCATTCTAAAGGGCATGGTAATGCGTTGCCATTCTAAAGGGCATGGTAATGCGTTGGCCTACTAGTTTCCTGAATGTCAAAGAAGAGTGTACGGAGTCCACAACTTCCAAAATCCTAGATACATGTTATAAAAGCACGGTGACCAAAAATACTGACTAGAATTAATGGGATGAGATTGGAATAAATGGTGACACTGATGATCTTTGTTCTTTTAAACATGTAAATGCACCAGTTGGTTAAAATTGTGAAATTGAAATTGACCTTGTGAATGAGTTCAATTAAAGTTTTATATGATAATGAATTGCACAAGCTACTTGGAGTGACTAACAGCCCATTTGACATGACTTTTGAAAAGTTAAAAGGGCTTTTGAGACATGAAAATTGCTTTTGGACATGTTTAGCTAATTTCATGAAGATGGTTCTTCGAGTTAGAAGAGTTTTTAAAGAAAGTTGGTCAAATATGGCTTCCTCTAAAAGTATCTCCAGAATAAGCACGTTTAAAAATTAGTTCCAAACAAAAATTTAGGTGGTTTCCCCCAAAAGTTCTTATACAAAGAGCAAAAGCCATGCCAAACGGGACCATAAGGCAACGTTTTGACAAGTACTAGAATATGCCTTACTAGCAGTTGAGATTGACATATTGAATACCGAATTACATTTTTTTCTATGCTAGAAAAAGAAGTCTTACGTTATATTGCCAGTTAGAAAGAAACTTGCTACTGCTATTCTGCATTGCACATAAGAGTACTGGTGTTTTACCTTAATACTAGATATAAAAATCGAACTCCGTTGGATGACAGATTTTAGAATCAACCACAGTCTCTGCAAAAAAATGAAAACGAAAAAACGGAAAATGATATTATTATTCAGTAACGAAAAACAGTAGATAAGTGCACATAATTTAGGCAAGTTTATGAAGAAATTTCTATTTTGCACGATGGTATTAGGTAGCAGGTAACATGTTTCCACTCTTGTCAGTGCCGCTCTTGTCCTGATGGTGTGATGTCGTTTTTGTACCACGATAAAAGTCATTGGGGTTGGTAGTTTGGTTCCAATAAGGCACGAGCCTGAATAAGACAAGCTACGCAATAAACCAAACTGATTTGAGCCTATTTTAGGTAGTAAAATAGTTTAAAGTGAGAAATTAAGTTGGAGAAATATTGTAACTAACATTCCCAATTGCATTCAACTCGAATATTGGGACTTCACTCGTGCCATCTCTGCTTATTTTCCTCCATCCGACAAATTTAAAAATACATCCATGCGCGTATAAGTATAAATTGGCGAGAACTTGGAAGAGATTTATGTGGACAAACAACGATAAACTGGCAGTGTAGATTGGAATGATCGGTTTGGGATTAAATTTCTTCAAGAAGACAGCATTATCGTTTTATATTTCTACTTGAAATATTCAGTGCCACGCACATAGTCGCATGGGAGAAAAAGTATAAAATGAAAAGAAGGAAATTCTACTGGTGGCTGGAGAAAAACAGAGATAGAGATAAAAAGGAACAAGGTAGCAGGCAGAGAAAAATTGCAAAAATTAATCGCGTTCCATTGCTTTTTGGTGATATTTTTCGACATTTATTTGTTTAATCACAATATTATGTTAGGCTAAATTATTTAAAAGGTTCATGATAAATGTATAATGTTGGAATTAAACATATAAACCTGAAAAGACATCACCAAAAATCGATGGAACCTGATTAATTTTCGTAATTTTTCTTTGCCTGCTGCCTTGTTCCTTTTTCTTTTTGGTTTTCCGCTAGCTTCTGCGTGTATCGATGTCTCTGTTTTTCTCTAGCTGCCAGTAGAATTTTCTCCTTTTTTCTCCGTTTTCTGTGCTCGTTTATATAATTTTCTCCTCGGCCGCCACTTTTCTTTCTCTTCTGTGCAGAGTCGGCCCTGACAATTCGGAGGGCCTAAGCGAGTCGGCAATCTTGAGGCCCCATACTTTATTTTTCTACACGTATAACAATATTTAAATGAAAAAAATCTATATTTAAATGAAAACTTTGTACAATATAAAAGATGGAATTGCTAAATAAAATATCACTTACAATTCGAGAGATTAAGCTAGCATCATATTTAGTCTTCTCACGTTTTGAGATGCAAAATTAGTAATCAAACAATTCAAATCAAGTTTTTCCAACATTCTTTTTTCAATAGAAATCATAGATAATCCATTCAACCTCTCTTGTGACATGGTTGATCGAAGATAAGACTTAATCAATTTTAACTTTGAAAAACTTCTTTCAGCGGAAGCAACAGTGACTGGGATGGTCAATAATATCCTGTAAGCAACCCAAGCATTTGCAAAACAATAATTCATTATCTTAATGTAATTTAACACATCAGTTGCTCCATTCATTTCTATAGATATTGCTTCCCTTTAAACTTTTCAACTTAGAAAATAATTTCATTCCATCGATATCAGATACTGTGTTATGCTTCAAATAATTTTCAAAATTAATGCAACGGCACTTCAATGTAGCATCATCAATGGATTTAAGCTTTTCCAAATCAAATAAAAATCCAAAAATATTGTCATCTTTTAGTAGATGATGAAAATAGAGTGTATATATGTTGCACCACTCCAAAGAAAGATTTAGCTTTTGTACAACAAGTAGCCATATCACAAAGTGCAAGATTGAGACTATGACACCCACAAGGAGTGTAAAATGCTCTAGGATTTACTTGTAGTAGTCTATTCTGTACCCCTTTATGTTTTCCTCTCATGTTAGCATCATTATCATATCCTTGACCCCTTATATTATCGATATCAAGCTCTAAATTATTCAACGCATTCACTAATTCATCAAAAAATCCCTTTCCAGATATATCATCCACCAATAAAAATCCTAAAAAAAATTCTTCTACCTTCACTGGACTTGCTGAAATATCAACACACCTCAATACTATAGACATTTGTTCTTCGTGACTCAAATCTGGAGTGCAATCAAGTATCACAGAAAAGTACTTGGATTCTTTGAGTTTCTCGATGATTATTTTCTTGTTCTCACCCGCTAGCATAAGTATCAACACATTCTGAATTTTGTGTCCAAGATAATGATAATGAATTTCTTTATTTTGAATTCGACGAATATGCTCTATTACAGGATCAAACTCAGCAATCATTTGAATTAAGCTTAAGAAGATGCCATTATTTTCTTGGTATATCTTCTCATTATCTCCACGAAACGCCAAATTATTTTCTACAAGAGTTCTAACCACGGATATTATTCTCAACAATACTTGTCTCCAATGTTCTCTATCCTTATTGATTTGTTCCTGCACACTTTTATCAATTGTTTGTTCCTTTTGAAATCTTATTTCCATTTCGATCCATCTACTCAAGTTAGTGATATGGTCATAACTCACTTCATGTGTTCTTAGTTTTTCACCAATATTTTTCCGATCATTTGCACCATCATGTGCCAATTAAGTTTGACTCCCATCATTCTTGAATAGCTTACAACAAAAACAAAATATTTTATCCAGACTTTTTGAATATATCAACCATTTTCTATCATGATTCTCTCCATTGGGTAATCCTCGAGTGTAATGAACAGAGGTGAAGTGTCAATTAGCTACATCTTTTGGAAAAATTACATCATTATCTCTTACTGGACCTTTCATTACGATTAAATCTCTTAAATTCTTATTCATATTTTCCCAATTCGCTGGATCACTAATATCAAAGGAGAATGGTTCACCAATCTTTTCATTGATGTTTCTTTCATCCATAACATCATCCTCGATTGATATCTCTTCATTCACCAGACAATGATTTTTTCAATTGTATTATCGTCGATATCATTCTTATTAAACTCTTCTTCGAGAACTACATCGTCATTATGTTTTTTGTTTACTACCACTAAAAAATTTATCAAGGGCTCCCTCTTGTGATTTAATCAATTGTTCAACCTTCTTATGCCGTTTTCTTTTAGAATATCTAGATTCAAATTTTCTAGTGGACATAATTAAAGCACATAACGGTAGAACCTGATTCAGAGTTCGACTTAAAAGTATCCCAGATTCTCAAATATTCCAAGTGTAGGAATTCAACAATCAACCTACAAGAAATAATAAATGAACCAAGTTATATGAGAATAACAGGTTGAAGTAAGTTAACATCACAAAAACTGAACTATGCCAACTACTGAATTCCTATTCTGAAACACACATAAAACAGAGTGATCAATTGATGATCATCAGCCAAAAATTCACAAACCACTTCTTATGGACTCATAACATTTCACGGACTTATATAATCAACTAGCGAAGACATCAATAGTTTAAATCCTAATCAGAAATTCAACTTTTTTTATGTACAAATTCGAAAGAAAAAATAAATAACCCTAAATATCAAAACTAATGAATATAGGATACCAGAACCCATTACTCTAATGCCTCAAACATATATGATTAAAAAAATTTTCATATTAAAATTAAAAAATTGAATTGAATTGCAATTCATACAATCAAAATTGAGCCAAAATAAATTCCTGGTCAGACAAAAATAAAAAAAATTAAAAATTAAACCTACAGGATAAACGGGAAATTTCCAATCATAAATCATTGATCCATAAATAAAAATTTCGAAATTTTACTTTCTTGGCACGATCTATAATTCTTTATCCACCAAAAATATCACAAAGCATCTGAGAAAACAAAGCAAGCCCAGATAATAAATCATGAAGAATTTCAAGGAAAACCGACCAATTAAATCCCACGAAAAAAATAATTCAGACATATAGATACCCACATATAAGAACAACAAAAAGAAATAAACAAATTTTGTCAACAAAAAGACTGAGTTTTACCTTGACGAAAGGATAGAGAATTTGAGATTTGAATGGAGAAATAGAGAAACAAATTATTGAAGATGGGGCATTTTGGACAACAACAGAGGATTCTGGATTCACTGGGATTGAGATTTCAGATTTGAGAGGAACCAGAGACTAGAGGAAGTCGAATTGAAAAGATAACGGGCTGGGGCGGGTTGTGGTGTATGTATGTATTGTATACGGACTCGGGACTCCAAGTGGACCAAGTCTCCAAAATAATTTAATTCATGTAGTCCAAGCCCAAAGGCCCCAAATCATTTTTCTTATTTTGGGAATTGAAAATAATATAGATTTTGAGGCCTTGGGCCCAAGCCAAAATTTGGAGGCCCTAGGCGGTGGCCTAGGTGGCTTGGCCCAAGGGCCGGCCCTGCTTTTGTGCCTCTTATTGCGTGTGTGTGTGTGTGCGCATATATATTTATGCATGCAACCTTTTTCCCAAAGCTGTCGTCAAATTGGTCTTTATTTTCCAACAGGAATTTCAATCCCATTCGACGTTCTTTCACTTTTCATTAGTTTGCGGCCCAATTAGTTGCAATTTATCTTTCAAGGCCTGACTTCATTACAATTAATGCAAATTAGTCCTTCAATTTCTAACATGTGAAGTTTGATTCCAAAATTGCTTTTTTATCTCCATCCTTCTTTCTTTTTCAATTGCTTCGAAATAGGTTCAACATTGAAACAATAGAAAATTGACCAAAGTTAAGTAAAATTCAATAATTTGACGACATAAAAGCTTAGTAATATGGTCCAAATAAGTGCTCAAAATGCACTTATGATGACCATTCCAAATACTTGACACCAGGGCCGGCCTTGGCCCAAGGCAAGCAAGGTAGTGGCCTTGGGCCTCGAATTTTAAGGTGGCCTCTAAAAAGAAAAAGAGGCCCAAAAACCATCTCAATACAAAACCCTCAAAACCCCTTAAAAAAATTCAGCGAATGAACGACCATTTAGAATGTGAGAGAAATTGAAAATACAATCTTCAATACCAATAGGTGATTCGGCAATCCCTAAAGGCTACCAGCAAAAGTTCCGGCTAGAAATCCGATTATCCAACTAACAGAGTACTTCCTCTTTGTCTTCCTGTTGAAGTGTTGTGTTGAGGTAACAAACCCAAAATTTATTTTTGTTTTTTAAGGAAAATAAAGAAGAAGAGGTGGCCAATTATTTGAAGATGTCATATTGACATGGAAAATTGAAGCTATATATACATTAAATTGAAATTTTTATATGCGTGTGCCTAAGAATTATTACATTTAAAATTGTTGAGGCTAGTGAATCACAATTTGTCAATTTCTTTTGCTTCTGTAGTTGGTAATTGATATTTCCAGTGACAATGCAAAGGGGTGGATTTGTATGAGGATTTTCCACTTTTTATATTGGTATTTATATTCTCTATTCTTCATGAGGCATAAATTTGTAGTCATGAATTGGTGTATTGACTTAAAATATATGGCGAGATATTTATACTTTTTTCACTCTCATTTTGACTTGGGTAAATGACTTCTGGGAAATTATATTTACAGTTATCTGAAATTCCATCCATGATTTTGAGTTCCTAATTGATTTTATTCAGAAAAATGTTTTGCTATGGGTAGACTTTTTTTTTTTTTTTGACCCTTTCATTTATTTTCTCAAATGAGACTTTTTTTTATCCTCTGTAACTACATATTTGCAAGTCATTTTTTTTTTTGGCTAAATCCTTTCTTTTTGGAGAAGTTTGAGAATTTTCAATTCAGGCTCATCGATCAAGTTTTACTGCTCTTTGCTTATAATTATGTCTATAAGAAAATTTGAATCTGGATGTGCTAAAAGGAAAAGGTTGAAAAGCTGATTAAATCTCAAGAGGGAGCACTTGATAAGTTTTTTAGTAGTAGTAAACCAACACATAACGAAGACGTAATTATTGAAGAAGTGTTTAATGATAATGATAACAGAAATAATACAATTGGGGAAGAACATTGTTGTTGCAGAAGCTCTCTCAAATGATCTTCAAATCGATGATTTTCGGGTTCAGTCCAACGTACATTTCTCTACCAACAACCAATTCAACCAGCTCCAAACCACAACCAATGTAATTCGTCTCGATTGCTATTCAATTTTACCCATGTAGAACAAGAAAAGATGATGATTTGTAACCACAAAGGCTAGGAGAAGATGCCACAAAAGTATACTATGAAGGAACCACCAATTACACAAAGTAAACTAGCATTTTGGACACTTCTAGAGTCTGTTTTTTCACACACAAAGGAGGCAGCCGGGATTCCTTTATTTTTCTCACAAAACCACACAAAACATCACAAGAAAGTGACTAGGGTTATAGCCATATATATACTCTAGGGTTAGGCTTTAAGTTTGACATTTAAGAGGCTTAAACGGGCCAAGATTTAAGCTATCCAAGAGGGAATACAATTGGCTGGGTGTAGTTCATGGACTTGGTTGTTGGACATATTTCATTCATCGGCCTATACCTATGAAATAATATTAACACACGTTAACATTATAACCCGAGACTTATTGGGTATTAAAAACCCAACAATTGTTTGATGAATGAAAGAGGTATCTATTGACAGAGATAATGAACAATTTTCCCTTGAGCTTTTTGATCCAGCAAATTGGGGAAATATAAATACGAATTTAAGATATTTAATTGTAATGAAAGGTCCTGTAAGAGAAAATGATATGACTTTTCCTAAAGATGTAGCAAATCGACAATTTTCATCTACAAATGACCTTCGACGATTACCTTATGGAGAGAAGCATGCTAAAAAATAGTTAACATATTCAAAAAGTTTGGATAAAATATTTTGTTTTTGTAGTAAGCTATTCAAGAATGATGGAATCAAAACTCAATTGGCACATGATGGAGTAAATGATTGGAAAAATGTTGGTGAAAAACTTAAAATGCATGAAGTAAGTTGAGACCACATCAATAGCATGAGTAAATGGATAGAAATGGAATTAAGATTTGAAAAGAGTAAAACGATTGATAAAAGTATGCAAGAACAAATCAATAGAGATAGAGAACATTGGAGACAAGTATTATTGAGAATAATATTGATGGTAAAAACTTGTGGGTGTCATGGTCTTAATCTTGCACTTTGTGATATGGTCACTTGTTGTTCGAAAGCTAAATCTTTCTTTGGGATGGTGCAACATATATACACTTTATTTTCGTCATCTACTAAACAGTGAAAATTTTTCAAAGAGAATGTAAATATCTCAACTTTAAGCCCTTATCACAAACTCGTTGGGAAAGTCATATTGAAAGTGTTAGAACGATAAGATTTCAAGTTTCGTAGAGGGAAAAAAAATACCTTTACTTCAATTGGCTAATGTTGATGATCCCGAGACAAAAGGTGAGGTGGAGTGTTTGGCAACATATGAAATTGACAATTTTGATTCTTAATTGGGATGATTATTTGGTATGAAGTGTTGAATAATGTTAACAGAATAAGCAAACATCTGCAAGCAGATGACATACATATTGAT